TATTTCCTAATTTTATTTCATGTTCATAGGGTTTATAATGATTTACTCGTTCTGGTTTATTTTCTCTAGAAAGATCATATTTGTGTGCAAGAAAGCACCACACTAAACATTTTTGATCCTCATTTTGAATGTTTAAAATGGCTTTTTTCATGGCAAGTTCTTTGGGAAGAGGTATATAACTACTAGCGGCTAAGGGATGATATCGAGCTGTGCAGAGTTCTAATTTTTCAATTTTATCTAATGTCCATCCCGAGCCATTTTGTAAAAATTCTTCAAACGATTTTTTTATCTTGTTATAGGCCTCATTCAATTGTTCTTCAACATTCTCTATTGTTAAACTTGTGAGGCAGGTAGATCTAAAATGTGGTTTAATAACCTCTTCGTCCCCATCATGTCCTATTCTAGAGAACTGTGCTGTTACTATAATGTACCATTTTAAAGCCTTTTTCTCATTGATTTCTTCCTCGAGTTTCGACATAATATTTAATTTGATATTATTTAAAAATATTTCTAGATCTTGATTAATTTCTTTGGTGGCGATAATTGTAAAAGAACTGAAGACGTTTAAGGCCGACGCTTCATTCGCTTGTTTAATGGATGGGGGGTTATTACTTTTCCTTTTAATACTTTGAACAGTACCATGTTGAGTACGGTTATGTTTCATTAGATCATGTTTTCTGCTAAACACGTCGTTGCATTTTTCACATGAAAAGGTATTTTTTTTAACATGAATATTTTGTATGTGTCTTCGTAAACTATCTGCTCTCGTAAACTGAGCCTGACATTCTTCACAGTGAAAGATTTTTCCTCATGTGTTTTCGAATGACGAACTAAATTACTTTTATTGCTAAAACTTTTACCACATATGTCGCAAACCTGTGAAAGATAGAAAAGCGGCTTTCAATATGCATGCTTTCCTCATTATAAAATTACGCATTTTTAATTATCCCTCACAAAAAAAATTTAATTACATAAATCATTTTAGAAATCGTTTAGTATTAACTCTTTACGTTTAAAGAATTTTAGTTTAGTTTAAAAATCTCTCTCTCACTACTTTTTTTTCCTAATAATCACACATTGTACAACAACGACTGAAGGGAAAGAGAACGATTGAATAAATAACTATATCTGCAAGTCACTATTAAAAAGAAAAAAAAATGTTACCTCTCTTGTACTTGGTTGAGGTTCCATTCTTTCAGAAGTTAGAGAGTTGAATTCTCCTCCCTGAATTCCAAAGTCGATAAACTAAGAAAAAAAAAGAGAGAAAAAAACTGTGTTAATATAAAAAATATTTTTTAGAATATTCAAAAATGATGACTGCTGTTTAAAAGTATTTGATACTTCATTCATTATCTTATAATAAATATACTTTTAAAATAAAGATTCAAAATAAAAGCATCTTCTCTCATAAAAAATAGTTCATTCATGCATTAAAAATATCATGCAACGATATACAAACTCGACTGATTTCCTTCAGACTCATACAAATGCTTTAAAAAATTTTTTTGAGCTCTAAACTATGTAAAAAGCAGGCTATTTAATTCAAATCATACTTGAAGCAAACATATAAATCATGTATTAAAAAAATAGATTGATTATAATTCATTTTAAAAAGTTCATCTAGTCTGAAAAAAAATAATAATTAAAATAATATATAACAGTTCTAATACTTACGTTGGAAGAAACAGATTGGTGATCTTGTTCAAAAGCCATCGCAAAAAAAATATTAAGCTCTGTGAATCAAATCAGGAAGACTTGCTCTTTTCAAGGTTGAGAAGAGAACTGACGTTTTCCATTTCTGAAACACCTTTTATAGGGATTAAAGAATGTTCTCGAAACATTTCAGATTTGTATAATCTGAACCAGGACAACAACAACATCATTATGATAACCCTTTCTTTCGAATACGATTTCAACTTCCATCAACCCTTATCATAACGTGAAGTCTACAACGCTTATCAAGGATCTTCCTTCACTTCTGTATGTATTGTCAAACTTGGAATAGCAACAACAACCTTAAGAGAATACATTCTTTCACATATGATTATCAGAGTTTTAGAAATTTTCCATTACTCTATCATGATAAGTGGATGATGCTTTTAAGATTACCCTTATGCATATATGTATAAGTAATGTCAAACTTAAGAATAACAACTCTTTCAAATAGTTTTTCAGTGATTATCAGAGTTTTTCATTAACCTATCTTACCATGATAACGCAATAATATAATGACGCCTTATAGACTGTCCTTCCCAAACAAGACAAGACAAGAATGTATTACGTAAGTGTTGATGAATTATATTGGTGAAAGATATTTTTATGTATTAATTTTAAAAATATAAGAGATTCTTTAAGGCAGAAAAAAAATTGTTCATTTATTTTGTGATAGGTTTTTTGAATCGAAATGTTATGAAGATTATAAAAATGCATTAATATAAGTACAGCTATTCTATTTAAATTTCTATGTTTTGGTTGATGTTATGATTTTTTTTCCTTATGTTTTTAATAGAAATATATTGAAATTTTAGTTTTAATTTTAAAGCAAACGTGTATATCAAATGTTAGTAAATGGATATTGCTGTTAATTTGACATTAACTAATGAAAGAAAATTCCTAAGTATATTTTATGTATAATACAGAAATTTATTCTTTGAAAATAAATGTATTGAAAGGTAAAAGCTTCTTGGTGAAATGAATGTTTTTCATAACATTTAAAAACGATGTAAAACAAATATGATTGTAGAGAGAAGAAAGAGTCTATATATAAAAATAATGATTTTATTCATTTAATAAGGTTCCCATTTTCGTGGAGAACGTATATGTTTTACAGATTTAACATGCAAATTTTTTTTTTCATATTAACATCATGATTCTGTAAATTTTCATTTTGATATAATCCATTGGCATGTTGATTTCAGTCAAGGCTTTTAAAAATTCGTTTTTAACAGGAATATTAATCTTTTTCTTTTTGGTTGTAAAAATGATATTGAATAAGTCTATAATATAAACAAGTTGATTTGAATGCTTAATTTTTTCCTTATGATAAAGTACTTCGCCTTTATCATTCCACTTAAGAATATCAGGATGTCGCTTTAAAATAGCTAATGCATTTTGTGCTTTTCTTCTCATTCGTAAAGGTACACTGTCTAAGATAACAGTAGAATAATCAGTTACAGTCATCTGTTTGTCGCCGTCTGTCACAGATGAGGGGGCTTCTTCTTCCTCTTTCACTTTCTTCATCTCAGCTGAATCGTCTAAAGAATTTTGTGAGTCGTCTTTAGGAGGTTTAAAGGGTGAATTGTATTCCTTTAAGTTCAATTTCTTTTGTAAAAGTTCATAATAACGCACTAATTTCTCACGATCGTCATCTGAACTGTTTTAAAATATGCATCATGGCTTTATCCAATTCACTTAACTGTTTATCAGAAATGGTATGCTTTGTCATCATCTCTTCTGGAACTAACACATATTTCTTAGTGAACTCCATTGATTAGTCCTGTAAGAACACTGAGAGCAGCAGGAATCAAAACGTTTAAAAAACCTCCTTTTTGTAAAATTAATTTTCGTTTCTTCACAAGAGAAATCTTACGATTTCCTAATTTTCGTAAAGTTGTTTTATGCTTACAGAGAGACTTCTTTTGTTGCTCCGACAATGGAACGTTTCCTTTGAGTATGTTTAAACTACATTCGCATATAGCTTTTATGCAATTGATATTAATTTTCTTTAATAGCTGTTTCCGTAACTTTAACGGACAAATGTTTAACAGCTGTAACTGTCTTAGCTGTTTCTTGACCAGCGTCATTTTATAAAACGATGATGCATTTTATAAAGCTGTTGTTTTTATTATTTTTTAGTAATGTTTCATTTGATAAACATACTGTACTTGGTTAGGTAAAATTTGGGTGCGTAAACGTAATTCTTCCGGAGTTTCACTGCGCAGATCAATGAATAAATAAGAAAAAGGTTTCTTGGTTGCATCTTCATATACTTCTTGAAAAAACTTTAAATGACGCGGAAAGAGCTGTTTTCCTAAATGTACGATTTGATTGACATCTCTTCTGTTTTTACACAAAATCAAATAGTGTGCATTTAAAGTCACTTCACGCATTTCTTTTCCCTTGTGAAAAAAGTTTTGTGTGATAAAAATAACGCTTAAATTTAAATGATGACTTCCTTTCGTAAATAAGTTAGTCAGACGTTTATCATTCCCACACTCGCTCATCAAATCGTCTATGATGAATAATGTGTTGGAACCTAAATATTCTTGATATTTAATTGGTAAACCTTCGACAAAAGTAACATTCGGTATATCATTATACAGAGGTTGGTAAATTCCATAACACCATACTACTTTATCGGGAATCGTTGAAAACATTTCCTCTTTATACTTTAACAGTTCTCGTACAAAATAGGTTTTCCCACATCCAGTGGGTCCCGAAATCACCATTGTGAAAGGATGTTGTAGCTTTGGAAATTCCATATTAAATGAGACAAGACACATAATGTATAAAGTTTAAATGTATTTATTGATAGAAAGAAGATCTTACGTGAAATTTCTTGATTACAAAATTATATACTTTAATATCATTAGATATATGTTGAGGTATGAAAGATAACAATATATCATTGAGAGATTGTCCACGACATTTACAATGTAAATAGTATATGCAATATTGACCACATACTGCCGTTACATTAGTTTGGAGAGTCATCGAATTAAAGTCCATCTGTGGAAATCGTTCTGCATACTTGGTTATCGGTCCAGGAAAATAGGATGGGTCATGTCCATAGGAATCTAAAAATTCTAAATGCTGTGGGGATGAAATGTGAAAGGCTAACCAGTGACTACCGGATTCAGATGCACGATCTACATTAGCAACTTGGATATTTCTTGATCTCGATAGGGAGTCGATCACTTGCAAAAACTCCCAGAAATGCTTTTCGTGTCTTTGCATTCTGAGAGAGTGCTCTGTTTATTTCAAGGCTGTCCATTGCTTAATTAGCAAAATCGCATAGTAAGTACATGACGAGATTTTGTTATTTCAATCACGTTTTGAAATTCTGCATAGACTAGCACCGAGAGAGTCACAGAGAGAGCTTTAGCAAATTTAATTTCTACTCGCAAATTGCCTTGATGCTGTAAGTTAAAATGAGATACATCACACATATCTGGAGTTAAATCGAAAGCATATAACACATGCCCTTTCACAAATTCTTCTCGAGATAAATAGATGCCTTTGTCGCGATTAAATCCAGAAAATAAACTGTGGTAAGCACGCACATAATGATTAGATTTGAAATCAAGGTCCATTGGTTTACATGGAACGGGTTGTCCATCTACATAAATCGATATAAAGTTGACATGATGATGGGCAAACAGAAAAGGATTCATTGAATATTGTCCATTCATTGCAGCATTTTCTACACAAGTAATAATGACTCGCTTGGGCATCAATCCTAAAAATACATTATCTTGCATAAAAGACCAACTTCCCTTAGATACTGAATATGTTTTGCATAATACTCGATCTATAGGGTATTTAGCAGAACTTTTTTCCAACGCTTTTACATGTCCGAGAGAGACTCCAGGGTTTACTTTTACTTTTCTGATAAACAAAGAAGCATGATCCAAGATCACTTTATAATCGATTTTGAAGGCATCATTTTTCTCAGTAGAAACTAGACAGAAAGCAGATTTACTACGCACCATTTTAATTTTCACATCAACTAAATTTAACATGAGTCGATTTTGTTGAAGAAAAATGTCACAATGTAATTGTCCTATCAAATCCACACTTTGACTGTTTTTTAATAAGTTCACCGCGAGCTTTTAGTCCAGCATCCGCATCTTGAGCTAAGACATCTATTTTATTAGGTGAAGTGTCTTGGAAAAATCCTTCGCAGGTGAGTAAACTTTTCTTTGCATCTTCCCCATAATTCAATAATGTTTCGATGAAGGCTCTATAAGGATAGGTATTTGTCGCTGATGAAATGTTTCTTTCATTTAAACTTACATCTACTTGCGAAAAGAGAGAATGTAAAAATAAATTTACAGGGGCAACCGGTTCTTTGTCTGTTAGATTGGATCCGTCTGCCTTAACTACTTTAACTTTCACGTGTATATAAGAAGCAGCTAGATCAATATAGTCTTCACCACTGCCAGAAATATTAAATTCGATAGGTCCTCCATCTCGTATATTTGCGAGAGGGTGATATTCCACAAACTGTCCTTTTTCTATAGCTGTTTGCGTAGGAGGAATGGTAAATAAATCTAATTCAGATTTGACGCAAACGGGAGAGTCTCGATGTATATACGAAGTCATACTTTTTTTTTTTTTTTTAAGAGAAAATATCCTGTGCTTTCACCTTCTTTGATCGGTGAGAAATGGTACGCTTTTTCCTACGTTTTCTGCTTTTTATTGACTCGTCCAGAACCAATCATGTTCTTCACTTTAGTAGCAGCTTTATCCTGTTAATATATTTCCGGCTTCTTTCAGTCGACGCTTGGCAGCCTCTTTTACATCTTGTCCTTGTGATACATCATTTAACAAATTCAGTCCACTATGCCATACTTGTTTTCCAATTGCTTCGGCTCCTGATTTAATAAGAAGTACGGCAGCGCGAAAGAAGGATCTGAATAGACCCCCTAATCCGTATCCTCTCTGATAAAGATTACCTTGATAATAATTCAATCCATGTCCTGTTTGTTGTACATAATAATCTTCAAAAGATTTTTGACAACACTGATAAGGTACATACATTATGACAAATATTTTTGACGGAAATGAAGTTTCACGTATGACCTTCCTCGTTCAAATGGCGTAAATGCTCCCATATGCGTTCTTATATCGATTTCCAAAGTGTCTATCATTTTCCGATTCACAGGTAAATAATGAGGTCTATCAAATAGTGCACTCACCACTTCTCCATCGCTACCAGTTACTCTTACAATTCGAAGAAGAGGAGCTAAAACATCTCCTACGATTTGAGGTTCTACAATATCCGTATATATCATTAATACACGATAATGTGCACAGGGGTCGGCTGCAAAAGGACTTTCTACAACAGTTTCGGGCACTATCATCTGTAGATGTAATTTCCATAGGTTCAAAACCTAACATTTGTGCTAACCCCCATCATGTAAAATCACTTTAGCGTTATTTTTCACTTTGATTTTCACTCGTTGTTTTGTTACTGGGTTATAATTAAAAATTATTTTGTTTTGATGTTCTTTAATATAAATAGCTTTTAAAATATCAGGTACTGTTTCATAACATCCTGGAGGTAATCTACGACCTAACATTTCACCATCTTTCTCTAAAACAAATCCAATTAAGTTATTGTCTGCATTCACATTGTGCCATGTGTGCGGATATAGCAATTCAACCAAACCAACTTCCCACATACCTTTTAATTCAATGGGAACAGGTAAACGTGTTATAAAATGTGAAATTTTATTTTCGGGGAAATAATTCATAGAGCTATCGCTCGGAAGTGTTACGTAGAAACTCATTTTCACAAATGATTCGGATACACTATTTTCTCACACTTTATATCGAGAGTAAATTAGAAGCTGGAATCCATTGATTAAATTTGTCGGGATAACCGCGATATTTTACAAAGTATTCTGTCTGTTTCTTACGCATACGTTTCTTTAAAATTTTTTCAATGCGATATTCCTCTTTCAGTCTCACTTTCTGCAACTCTTGTGCATAAAACGTTCCTTTTACTGAGTCTCCAAGTAAATCTTTAATTCTATACACAGCTGGATGTCTTTTAACACACACTCTGTCACCACAAATAGTTCTTCCGTCCAATTGGTTTCATAGCCTTTTTCGAAAGTAAGCTTTAGTTTGGAAACACGTACCACATCTCCTACAGCGAATATACATTTAGAAACGTTAGAAGGATGATCTTTATACAAGGTAAACCATACATCACTCTCATTTTCTGAATTGACTTCTATGGGAGCTCACTTTATACTTGAATGAAAAGTAGCATTATAACTTTCTATTAATTTGTCTAAGACATCTACATATTTATATGTATTTCGAGTCGTAAAGTATTTCCACATTTTTGTTTTCAAAGTGCGATTAAACCTTTCCACCACGGATGCTTATTGTATAGTAGTATTGAATGTACTGAAAAGTTTAACTTGATTTCTTTTTAAAAATTTTATAAACACTTTATTTTTAAATTCGGTGCCCTGATCCGTTTGAAGGAATTTTGGTTTACGTTGACTCATTATTTTTTGAAACGCTTTCACAATATCTTCTCCTCTCTTTTGTTTCAGAGGAATAGCCCATGCATATTGGATAATATGTCAATACAGGTTAATATATATCGATAACCATCATTATGATCACGTAAATGTGAAACATCCACTAAATCAGCTTGCCATTGTTGATCTATAGAATACACGATTACTCTATTCGTTGGAAATTTTCGGCGAATTGGCTTGTGAAGCGTGTACGCATCTATTCCCTCTAACCATGTTTGAATCTCTTTCCTGGAAACTTTACCTCCTACAGCACGATGTAAAGCTTCAACACCACCAAAACTTGCAACATGAGCCGGATCCTGATACGATAAATTCATATTCATAGCCTATTGAATTATTCTTCATATGGATAACGATAAGTTCCCACTGTCGTTAAGACGTAGCGTAAAATCAATAGGAATTTTATGAAATTCTGTAAAAATATAGATGGATGATAAAATAACGCATAAAACAGTGTATAAACACACCGCAACGGTAGCTTCTCCTGGAGCAGGCATAATTGCAATTGATGTGCTGATTCAAATTCCATTTTCTTATATAGGCTTTTTTACCTAAATCTGAATGTATCCCGTCAGCTTAGTGGTTAAAATCTTCAAACTACTGAGCTGGTGAAATATTTTGTTTGAGAGTTCAATTCTATATTTTGAATAACAGAATATTTTTTTTTGAAAAAAAAAAAGAAATTTCTAAAATAAATTATTTTCTTTTTTCGTCCGTAGAGGACGCCATGAGCAATTCCTAAACAAATTATTTTCATTTTTCATCCCTAGAGGACGCCATGACCCCGTTGCCAATTTAAAAAAAACTAACTTTAAATGAAAAGCAGGAGGTCTACAACTCAATCAGTAGTCTACGAACAACTCAACTCCACTCGAAACCACGCCTCCTAGTGTGATGACGTTCCCTTTGGCCCCGCCTTCTGTGTGACGTCGTTGGCCACGCCCACACCGCACACCGCGTGTCGGTGAACCCGCATTTTCTATCTACTTCCGTGGTTTTCCCGATGTGTAACGTGTATACGAGCCAGTTTTCCTTAGAAAGTCCTCCACGAAGGCATCCCTCCTTTTAGGCAGATAGCCCTCTTGTGCTTTGCCATAATTAAATAATCCAATCCAATCCTTAATTAAATATAATTGATTTGTAACTTCTACTAGAACTGACGTTAAGAATTGAAGTGCAAATAAATAATATCGTGTGCAATCTTGATTAATATAAAATTTAAAATATTTGCACAGAAAAATATTTGCATTCAGACAGAAAGTTTTTTGAAATATTTGCAATTACTTTATAAGAAGGATTTATTAATAACCGTAATAATTACTTATTATATTACTGATGATTAGGAATCAGTTCTTGACAATTACATTCTAAATTAGAATTTTAAGAATTATTAGAATTTTAAATTAGAATAAGGAAAATACGCTACGCACAAAAATACATTTTATGATAAAAAAATGAGTTGATTTTTTATGTTTTAAAACTTCTTGAATTCATTTAATAAACATCGTATCCTCGTTGTTAATTGAATTCAGAATGTTGTGTGTCGTTTATATAATTATTCTTACTTGTCCACGGAATCTGCTGACTTATCCAGCGATTAAGTAGCTGCAGATCATTTCTACTTAACCATTGAACTTCCATTAATTCAGTCTCTAGAGGGTTGTATATTTATATCATAATTTGACTTTTATAAAATGATTATTCTAAATCTTATGTTTCTATAAAAATATACTGTGCTTTAAAAATATGGATGAGTACCAGCCGCTCTTTCAGCCACTTCAAAAGCATCAGTTTGTTTAGAAATAAATTGTGCAGGTAATGTCATAAAATTCAAATAAACATCAAACGAAAATTCTCAGTTTTAGACAATTCAATTTAAACGAAGTAAAGTAGGACCGCAGATATCGTCATTTGCATAGGTGTTCAAATACTTTTTGGTAGTCAGTGTATACATATATATATATTTTACAAATTTAACGAATTCCATATTTGACGTTTGGCAGGATTAATGAAATCGATGTACATGTTATTTCCGAACGTGCACTGTTATAATGATGCACGTGTGTTTTATGATCTCGATGCCGAGAAGTTAAAATTTAAAAACTGCATACACTAACAATATAAATTTCTTCTCCACCGTCCAAAAAATAGGAGCTTTAAGGAACATGTGTTTAGTTGTTTTTTAGTGAGTAAAATGGTTTTCTCTGTAAATAATTTTTTTGTTAATATGTGATAATTTGCTTGCATTATTTTAGATACATTACTTTTTTA